TTTTTTTTTTTTTTTTTTTTGCGTTCACTGCACAATTCCTTACCACTAAGCCACCAGCCACAACCACCAAGCCAACAGAGCTCCCTAATTCAGCACTGTTGTTGTTGTTATGTACCATCAAGTCGGAACCGACTCATAGCTGACCTTCCTGCAGGTTTTCAGAGGCAGGTAATCACACGCACGGGAGAAGGGGTTCTTCATTAAAACCAGTATTATATCATTTTCCGTCTCACAAAACATCAATGCCTACCACATTAAGTCAGGTATAAGCTCAGCTTTCCATAGCATAACCTATCCAAGCTTTTCTAACTCTTTTGCTTCCACCCTAACTCCATAACAAACAGAACTTGTTTCCCCAAATACACCAGAGGTTTTTCTGCTTACTTACTTTTTTTCATGCATAAATCATCCCCTTCCCCCTAACCCATTTGTGTGAATTCTAGCACTCACTCAACACATAGATCACGGCCAACTTTTTCCAGAAAACATTTCTACACACAGACACACCAATAACAACTACCACTATCCCCCAGCACCTCAAGTCCCATTGTAACCTTTATCACCAACATAATAGCATTTTGTACAGATCCTTGCTATTCCTGCTGTATTTGCCAGAGTAAAGAGACATCCTCGAGGAAAGGTCTGTTACTTCACCTTCGCCCTTGCATACAACTGGTACTTAATGTGTTCTATTTCGTTTTACGCAATCACATCCCGCTGGAATGGTCGGGGGCGAATTTTTTTGCTGTAGTCACACGCGCGCGCACACACCCGCGCTTTCTCCCACTCTGACACACACGTGTCCCTGGGGCCTCAGGGCTGGATCAGTCTCGGGACTCCCAGGCTGTGAGCGCTTCCATTTCAGCCAATGGAAGGGGCGGTTTATTATTTAAAAACTCCTGCGGCAAATATTAATTACTTTAAACGCCCTATTGACGTCATCCCGTATCTTATCTTAAGACTGCCTTCTTTTGAAAACAGTATTCTTTTAGGTCTCTATTGCTAGTCTGGTAGCACCGGGGTCCGATCCCACGATCCCCCCCCTCCACTTTTGTCTTGGTAGAGCCTGCTTTGTCAGCGCGCGGCGCTTGCGGGTTACCCTGCTGCTCCCGCTAGCTCCCGGCAGACGGTGTCGCTGCGGCTGCCGCTCCTCCTGTCTCTCGCTCTCGGGACTTTTTCAAGGTCCTGAGGTGGCTGAGAGGGAGCTTAGGAACATCCCCACGGACGGCCCGAGGATCCTGTCGACTCTCCGGCCTCGGCCGGGCTTCGCTCCTCCGGTGCGCGAGGGGCCGCAGCTGTGTTGGAGGCGCTGCCCGGCATGTATCAGAGCCCGCGGCGGCTCTTCTCGGCCCTGCTGCAGAGGGACGCGCTCGGCCTGCGCCGCCTGCCCGCCCCCGGGCTGCGCCGCCAGTCGCCTCCGCCGGCGGCCGTCCCCCAGCCCGCTTCCCCCCGGCTCCTGGTGGCGGCCTCCGCGGCCTCAGACGCCGCGAGGTCGTGTTCCCGAACAGGTGAGTACCCGGCGGTTCCCGGCCGAGGACGCCGAAGCGGAATGAATGAGAAGCTGGGGTGGGGTGGGGGGGCAGGTCAGCAGGCGGGCCCTCGTCTCCCGGAGCCGTCGTCACTTCTCTCTTTTTTTCCTTTTGCCCTGCCTTGTCTGAAGCTTGCTTGGTATCACGTATGATGAGAACTGGGACACTGTGTTCTGGTTCCCCTTTCTTTGATCCTTGGATCCTGTTTTCAGCGGTTCTCTGTATTAACCGACGTTAAAATGTTCCCTTTCTAAGGCCGCCAACTATTTCTGTACTTTTTACTATGGTACTCGGGGACATTTTCGTACCATAAAAAGGGCACTTGATTGATTATGTGACTTGCATGGCCTAGATAAGCTTCGTGGTAACGATGTATTGTAGTGCACTGATTTGTTTTCCATTTATTTAGACTTGTTTGTTTTATTTTTGGAGTCTTCCACTCTTAACACTTAGGTCATTCTGTGTCGTGTACATCTGTTGTAAAGATGATGCCTTCTGTTTGCCGAGAACCAGTTTTACATCATTTAAAACCCTGGACTTTCCGTCTTTTGCCTCCTGGGTTTCTGCTTGAAGATGCATGACCACAAATTACATCGCAATGAGTCATGCTTTTAAAATTGAGGAATTGATAATTCTCACACTAAGAAAAGGGGTATGTGCTTGCGCTCAAGTTATTATTGCTGTAAACATTTGTGTAAACAATCTAGACTAAATTTAAGTGCATTTTGGTTAGCAAGGTTTTAATTTCTTTAAGAACAGACTGAACCGGCAGAAAAATCTGCAGCTTGATTGCCGTTTACTTTCATTGCCTAAAGGGATAATCCAAAATCTGATAAATCCTAATTAGATTATCGTTAGATATTTAGGTTAGGGTAGACGACCAATTAAAATTAAGGTACACTGTTCAAATCCACCAACTGCAGCACAGGAGAAAGATGAGCCATCTCCTCGCTTGAGATTTTACTGCCTCTGAAAACTGGCTGGAGGGTCAGATATGGGGTTGGTTCTGACTTGACAGAATACAACCACAAAAGATGTCAGAATTAAGATGCTAGATTGGCTACTGGGAACCATGACCTCATTATACTTTTGTCTTCAAAATTGTGAACCTGAAAGAGATTTTGTTTCCCCCTCAGTTTTATAGGGATTTAGCATATTTGTCAAGTAACTGTTAGTAGCATAGATATCAGTCAATAATTCTTGGTGTGAATTTTTCCTAGCTGGAAATTTTCAAGTGAATCGGCTTTATTTTAAAGGTAAGATACATGAAAGTAAAGTTAGTTGCTATCTTCAGGACTAGCTCACATCATAAATTCCCTTCAAAGTCTTTAAAAGATATGGTTATTTACTATGAACGTCTTGGAAATGAAATAGTTGAATTTGTAGAATACGAATAAGGTACATTTGTTAGCCGAGCAATAAATGCTTAGGTTAGACAGAACATACAGAATGTTAAGGCTTTTAACTTAGGGAAGTTGTAAGAAAATTGAGGAGTTTTTGTAAAATTCTCTGAAACCCTCTAATTTTACAGATAAAGTGAAAGGCTTTATGGTGCTTAGACCAGCTTTAGCTTCAGCCGCTATTGGGGAAAAACATAGGAATGCATTCATTCATTGCTTGATCACTCATTCATTTAAAGGGGTTTGAATGTCACACACTGCAGGTACTTTGCTGCTTGTAGAAAGTAAATATCAACGTTAATCTGCCATTAAGGAATTAACTGCCGGACAAGAGAGATGATATTTAACACAAAGAAATGACTGTTTAATGAAGTGAAACACCTTTTATTCTTTTGTAGTTAAAAGTTTGCTAATTACACCAATGCAGCAGAGCAGGAAGTCCCTTTCAGCAGTGGTAATCCTTTCAGGCTTCAAGAAGTAGCTGACATTTAAGCCAGACTTTTAAACATGATTGAGTTTAAGAAAGTAATATAGAGCATTTTACTGGGGACACACACAAATAGGAAAGGAAAGGCATGAGAGATATGGGTTCTTGGCTTCTACTTTGCTGTTGTTAAGTACCATCGAGTCAGAACCGACCCATAGCTGATCCACTGGCGCGTTTTCAGAGGCAGTTAATTGCACAGGACGAGATTGCCCATCTCACGGACCAGCTGGTGGAGTGGAACCCCATGTCTTTGCAGTTGAATCTTACCACTACGCCACCAGAGATTTAGGGTTCTACTTTAGACCTATTGAATTCTAAAGGTAGACCCTAGATTATACATTGATAAACAAATTTAACAACAGAACTCTCCAGACTATTCTGTGCCCCAGAGTTTAGACATCTGGTACCCTGGTGTGAAAGAGACCTTCAGGGAACTATAAGGCTACTCTCCTCTTCAGAGAGTGTTATGTGAAGGACAGAAGAATAATGAGTTCTAACACTTGGTCCCCTGTGGTACTCAAATAAGAGTTTCTAACTTATGTCCCCCTTGGCAACAGAGCTCTCTAAGGAGATGAGTACAGTCCTTTTTTGTGGCCATCAAATCTTAAATTATTAGACTTTAAGGGGGAGTCTAGAGATGATTTAGAGTTTTGCTACTTTTTATCAAACAAGGAGAGTAACCCTCAAAAAGAGGCCGAAATTGGCACAGTGCTGGATGAAATGGTTGTTGGGAGTCATTTGTGGGCTTACAAATGCTTCCCCTCAGATCTCTCCTCAGATAATGAGGAGTTGGCGGAATTACTGTTTTCTGCTATTGGAACAAGCTGCCCTTTAAAAAAAAAAAATAGAAAACTTTGTACAATTTTAAAAGGCAAATACCAGCCCATTTGAGGAGGTGGCTTTATTTAGTATGTCTCTTAACTGTATGAGTAAGCTGCTTATGAGAGAAGAAATGGCAAAGCTTGTAATTATCGAGCTTCTACAGAATAAATTGCTTTGCTTGTGGGAGAGCTAAGCTGTCATTTGCCTGTAGCATCCAGCGGTAGGTATAGTGAACTAACTGTTGTAGCTTTTGAATTAATAACCATGTCTCCAGAATCACATTCATCACCCTTTCATATGAACAATTGCCAATCATTTAACCTCCTTTGATATCTCTAAAAAACACTGAACCTTACTTTTTAGGAAAGAATAAGTAGGTTGATATTTGATCTAAAAGCATTATTGAACCTTAAAAATGTCAAATATTAAACTGTGCCACATGATTGTAATTGTGGCAGGAATTTGTTGAGAAAGACTTTCCTTTGAATAGGTGAAATGAAGGTACTTTGATGTCAGGGAGAGAGCACTGTGCCTGCTAGATGAGGATGATAGCACAAAGATAACGCCTTTGGAAATGGGCAGTAGGGCTTTTAATTTGCTTCCCAGAATCACTTAGAACCTTATTAAAATACAGATTTCTGATCTTCTAAGCAAGAGCCCTGGTGAACCAGTGTGGTCAATCGTTTGGCTGCTACCCCAAAAAAAAGGTTGGCAGTTGAAGCATCTGCTGCCCCCTATGGAAGAAGATGAGGCAGTTTGCTTCCATATGATTTCAACTCAGCCAGACTCATTGCTGTCAAATCTAAACCCTCCATTTGGGTTTCCAGAGCTGTAAATGGCATGGAAGGAGATTGCCCATTTTTCTCCCACAAAACCACTGGTAGATTTGAATAGTAGCGTAAATCCCGATGGACTAGGACACCAGAGCTTCCTCTGTAGAGGTATGTTGGGTGTGTCCTTTTAAAAAAATTTTTTTTATTATTAATGTAAATGAAAATTTACAGAGACTTTGGATTTCCGTTCATTTGTTGTTGCACTTTTCTCCGTGCCCCTCCTTCCCCACCCTTACACTCTCTTCTTTGAAAAGTAAAAGAAAACTTCTTTCATTGTTTTACAATCCTTCCCCCCAGGTTCACTCCACTATTCAGCCTTCGCTCTGGTGGGTGTGGCTTTATAGCAGAGCTGACTCATAGCTGAGGCTGCAGCAGGTTTTCGAAGGCTGTAAATCACATGGGAGGCAGTTGTCCCATCTCTCCCTCAGAGCTGTGGCCATGTGCCTTTGGGTTGGCAGCACAGCTCCTTGCACACTAGGCCACCAGCGCTCTCAATGGAGATGCACTACCTTGGAACTCCTGCAGATGGTTCTGCTTTGTCGCATAGGTCACAATGATCCGGAATCTACTGGGTGGCCATGCGTTTGGGTTTGGTTTAGGTTCTTTAAAATGCAAACCTATTTAAATCTCTTCCTGGAATTCAATGTTGGTTGTTTATATTTAATATGTGCCCTCCTAGGTGGTTCTTTCCAAGATTCATTTATAAACCTCATGCCTCCTTTCTGAAAATTCTTCTCCCTGAAAAGTTTTTGAAATCTTGGAAGTTTTTGGACATGGAGCCTAAGGCCTTTCTGGAGAGCTTCAAATTAGAGCATTACTTGAAAGAGAAAAAAAGAAAGGAGAGGAATTGGAGTATTTATGAAACTATTGGCCTAGTGGGAAGAAGCTGTTGCAATCCCAAAGGCATGCAGTTTGAATTCACCAGCTGCTCTGCAGGACAAGGATGGGTCGTTTCCTCTGGTAGGACTTACTGAAGACCTGCTGGAGCGTCAGCTGTGGGTCAGTTCAACTCTAGGGCAAACAACAACACTTTTGTTCCCAGTTGAATGCTGGGCCACTAACCAAAAGGTTGGCAGTTGAGACCCTCTCAGAGGTACCTCAGAAGAAAATCATGGTCATCTGTATCTGGAAGGTCATGGGCTTGAAAACCTACATTGTTCAGTTCTCTTCTAAAGCACATGGGGTTTAGAATATGTCGATTTCTTTGTAAATTATATACCAGTTTCTTGAAGGAGACAGAGGAAAGAAGCCTCACACAGCATCTGTATTTGCTGTGAAGAGTCACTCTTCTGATTAATCTGCACAATAGCCACTTAAAATAGTGATCATACTGGAATTTGAAGGATGATAGGCGTGGGTGTTTGGCCTCATAGGAAGTCAACTTGAACTTTTGTGGACAGCAGCTAAGATATTTTGGATTTATCATCAGTGTTAAAA